CGGAGCAGTCGAGTGCCTCAACCGTACCATTGGCAAAGTTCTGCGAACTGCCAAACTAGCTGGCGAAGACATCAATGTTGCATTAGACCAATGGCTCCTAGCGTACCGCACCACGCCACACCCTGCCACTCACGAGGCACCGGCAACACTCATGTTTGGTCGCCCCATCCGCGACAGCATACCCTGCATTACGGCAGCCGCACCAGACTTGCCTTCAGCTGCCCACCGTGACCAGCAATTCCGCCAATCCCAGTGCGATGCTGCCAATGCCACCCGCCGGTCAAACGCCCCCATCCTCACTCCTGGTCAGCGCGTCTTACGCCGCAATGAGCAGGCACACAAGCTCTCACCACAGTGGGATCCCAACCCCTGGACCGTGGACCAGATCTCTGGGTCTACGGTGACGATCTCCAACTCAGCAACTGGCCAAAGATCGACTCGCCATAATTATGTCGTTCGTCAAGCCCGTAATTGTTGTCACACCGCCAGCCCATCACCCACTACCAGCTGAAAGTTCTGCCACCACACCTTACAAAATTACAACAAAATCACATGCAAGAAATCCTTTCACTTTGACTACTGCTCGTTGCGTGACATCACTCCTCACCAAAGGACTTCCTGGGGATTAAAATCCTAAACAGACAAATGTACGAATACCGCAACTGACTCTGTTGTTCTGCACGCCACGATCAACACGACTGCGTGCAAGACACAGCTGATCATCGTCGCTGTACTCTTCCCTGAGCATGTTACCCTGTCGCTGCAGCCTGCGACAGACATTCCATAATTCCACCAACTTGATGGCTTGATGTTCCCATTGACGTCGACCATGCGGTGTTGCCATTGACGACCTTCAACTTCAGGTCCTTGCCGTGGTCCGCACCATTCAAGAGATGGGCCACATTTGGTGTACTTTCACCCAGTTGGTCACTTATTTTAACCTTGCCGACTTTCCACTGCCGGACTGTTGCTTCAACAACTGGCGGAGAGCACATACGCATATCATCACTCTTCCTTGCAAACATCATTTCCGTCTCCACCACGTCCTTATCAGCCTGATCCATGCCTGACACCCCCAAGGCACTGTCCACTGTGCCGCCGGGCTGGTGGAGCGACGGACCGATTCTCCAGTGACGGTCGTCGTCCACAAGGCTGTTGGAGTGCGCATCCAAGATGTGCTAGAGCTGTTCAGTGTCGTGCAATGCTATCGCATGAGCTGATTGTTTAGTAACTGGTGGTGTTAGTGGACAGTATAGCGTAACTTGTAGTTCCTTGGTCTTTCTCTTTTGTATAAACAAACTAGTAAGCTAACGATAAACTAGTTACACTGAGACAATTCGACTGGCACAAATTACAACAAAATCACATGCAAAAAGTCCTTTCACTTTTACTACTGCTCGTTGTGTGACAACCACCATCATCAGTGTGCGCACTGCGCCTGGTTTGGTGCATGCCTGGTGGAATATGACATAGCGGCTGATGCAGTGGGCATGTCAGGTAACACCTAACGCATTGAAAATGACTCAACTATGACTTGGTTCGATTGCAACAAACCTAATGATAGTGGTACCGAAACATTCGGGTAACCGGAGTAAGTGCCAATTGATATTTTTGGCTCCAGTCAGTCAAGTGATTCAATTGCAATACAATTATATACGTACGGTGGAGCTCACTTAGTACGTACCCGGGTAAGACATACACCTGCATAACACGGTCCTCTTTTGTCGCACGGATTTTCCTCCCATAAGCGCATATTCAGATGTGTACGGATACGACTGCTTCCTTCTGTTCATGTGATTCATTGTCGCTGTGTTACTGTATGCAGATCTCACTCAGCTCTGCTCTCCGAGCATTCTGCTTCCAACACGACTTCCCGAAAGGTATGTATGGTGGCTAATAATTAGGGCTGAAACAATTATACCGATAACTCGCATATCGATCGTTAAGAGTGCAATCGATAATCGTTAGTGTTCAAAACGAGTGCTAACAATTTTTTATGCATGTATATGAGTGACAGTATTCCAGCCCTTGCACTCCATCCGATAGTGAATATGAGTACAATCATGTACTTTCAAGCGCAGTAAAATTGATTTGTGGCTTTGAAAGAGATCGGAAGAGAGCACTCTTTGTCTTTTCAGTTCATTTGCGGGAAAGGTCAGAGATAAGAGCAGTTGCTGGAGGGTAATGACAAGATTCTTCCCTCTAGAAACAACATGAAATTCTCTAGAACATGTTGATAAACCAGCCAGATGTCTACAGATGTCAACAGTGCGGTGCCACAAATTTCTAACGTAGCAAAAGTATCGTGGAATTTTTTCATAAACTGGTGTTCGAGGTACACGGGTAGAGCCGACAAGAATCGATAAAACCAATATATCAATCGTTAATGATATTGGTTGATCGTTAAGAGTTATTGAATGATCGTTTCAGCCCTACTAATAATGCGAGAGTCTTTACAGATTCCAGTGCTCTCATGCCTTTTGCAAGTTCCGTTTGTAAGTCAAATGGAACATGGTTTGTGGTCAATACTTCAGCAGTAGTGGTGCGAGAATATCCGGGTGTCAAATTGCTCGGAATTGATGTATGATAACGGAGAATATACCAACATGTGAATCACTTGGAGATATGGTTTGCTAGGTTCTGTTCACACTCACTAGGCTAGACCCTCTCGAATATTGTACAGCAGTTTTGGCCCAAGAGTGGTAAAGGGCACGGGGCAAGCTATGTCGGGACCTGCTGTAAAGTCCGCCATACACGAGCTGTACGTCTTATCGGATGGGATATACCCCTGATATTGCTGATAATGAATGGCCCAGTTTCATTGTACTGCTGTCCGCGATATTATATCCTTAGTGGCATTGTTAACTTCTCATTGCTTGTGGGGACGCATGGATCATACGTCCATCCAACACCTGCCAATCGGAACCCACCGACAACGCTGTCGGTTGGGTTGGACCACAATCGGTTGGTTTTTGAGTCCAATATGCCGCCTTGGTAGCACACAGCATTGCTAATCTGATTTTAAATTAGCTGCGCAAATCCTGGCATACTGCCCGTAAATGCATCTAACTCCAGGGTACTTATGAGTTTTTAGGTCTATGTGGTACTTGTGTCGCATTGGCAGCCACTGTTCCGTTCTGTATTTTCTGGTGTATGTGTCGTTGAATCTCCACAGAAAATGTGCTCGCGCATTAGAAGGAGGTGAAAGATGCACCTGCAGGAGAATACATGCTTAAGAGAAGGCAGAAACATGCCCGGATCCACCAGAACTAGTGCTGGCAAGTCAACAGAGGCGAGTACTGATAATGTTCCAGATTGTGGTAGGATCACATAAGCAAAATTGACACTGGGAGGCACGGCGGTGGGTCAGCTCATGGCCAGCGCCAGCTCCAGTGGATATCACGTGCATCCAGTTCTAGTACTATAGTATGACTGCTACAAAGTAGTGCGGCCCTAATAGACCTCGGGTCAGGTGCCGAAGAACTGGGGGGGGGGGGGGGGCATGTGTCGATGAATGGTAATAACTCCGGAAATCATGCTGGTATATCGAGGGCGTGGGCCAATGAAGTGCTGGATTGATGGTGGACGACTGTACTGCAATCTTGGCTGGTCCCACTATCGCAGAGACAGCACTTCCTGGTGCAACCGCCCTATCCTGCAATCTATATAATAATTATTATAAGAGATTTGTGTGAACGATTTTAGCATGATGCAAGTCAGCTTATTGTGCTGGGGGCCTGGCTACATGTCACTATAGCTTTTTATAGACTCGATCACCGCATTACGCTGCCTTGCGTTGACTTGATTGAGCACTCTTTTTGGTTAGTGTCAAAGGTATATGTAATATGTATCTGCCTTCGTGCAAAGCTCTCTTTGTGCGTGTCTTGCAGATAGCTCGCTGACTTTGATGCTTTGAGCCATTTTCAAATAGCTTTTTTTGTTCATTTCATATAGACCGTATTGTCATTTGTTTAACCTCCCGCTCTGAGCTCCACTGATGGGACCTAAAAAGGCTGAAACAGCTGTCTGGAGATTGAGCGTCAGTATTATGGATTTAGAATACACGATCTGGGGACAGCACTAGTACTGTCTAGCTGTTTCGTCCTTTGTGGACTCATCAGCGAATCACGGAGAAATAACTCTTAACTAAGGATGAACTTAGCAGCCATGAAAATAGATAAATAATGCCTCCAAGCCAGAATTCAAGGCTACATGTGTAGGCCCGAATGTGCCTTGCCCGAGTGCTGAAACTGATGTCATTGAGATACGCATAGAACATCTGGCAAAGGAACTACTAAAGCCCCCACAAGCACGGTATTCTACTTCAACAAGGAAGAATTTTGAAAGCATGCACAGCCCTACATGTATAATGTTGGTATAGGTAAGCCTTGTTTGATAAATTAACATGACAAGGCGGGGGACGCACTGTGTTTAAAAACAGTGCTCCTGATACACTAGTGTGTCCTCGGCTTTGTCACATGCTGTCAACCAATCAACACATACAACGTTGCATGCAAAACGGCTGCAGCCTCGGAGTACGGAGTGCTATTTTGGAAAATGCTAGATATACAGCCTGTACTTATACAGGTGTTCTATCAACTAGTGCCATGACAACGGTAGCTGAATGAAACATGTACATAAACCCAGGGTCATCATTGCAAGACCCTCTGGGTCTAAGCCCGAAGTAACATTCAACTACATGACTGCATACACCATCATGTATACACCATCTTCGTAGTAACTGAGTCTACCCCTCACCCACTACTGCCACTGTGACCACAAGTGCGCACAAACAGAGGACCTTAGAGGACCTACTTCTAACTACCATGCTGGCCAAAGAAATCCAACCTTATGAATAAAATTGCACCGGGCGCTACGCAGCCCTAGTAGTAAACATACTGGACCGGTCTGTGCTCTCGAACGCGGCGCTACTTTATTAACGAGGTTGGATTTCTCTGGCCAGCACTGTACAAAATACACACATGCACACACAACACTGCTAGGCTTTCCACCACCACACTAGGTTTTGAAACCGAAGAGTGGCAAAATTCAGGGCCAGACTAGAAAATCTGGGGAGACCTGATGGTTTTTTAAAGCAAAACACAGCCAACACTCTGCAGCCTCACAGCCTCAGGCAGGTTTTCCCAAGTGCACAAAATTAAAAGTTGTTGAGGCACCACGAATACAGTCGGGCGTCACAGAACGTGGGACCCAGGAATGTACGTGTATACCTCTAGGAACACCACAGCCAATGACGTTTTAAAAAGAAACGCAGTGTCAATAGACTCAAGTCTCTGCTTTTCTGGAATACAGATTCTGCTACACACGTATTGCTCACTATCCAGTGGGATGTGCATCTAAGAAAGTGGTACAAGAAGTCAAGGAACTAAGCCTAAGGCCAGATTGCTGAAAGGTTTTGTATAAGGTTTTGTATAACTGACGAGCCTGACCCCTTGGAAACAACAGCCGTGGATGCGTGGCTCTACTGTAATAAATGTACAGGTACACAAACAATTTGAATGCAGAAATAACAACAACAGGGAGAGGTGTAGGAAAATATACTCGGACCCTAGTGAATTTGCTTGTGTATTAGCTTGAAAACTTTGGGTACACTTGTTGAGAGACCTAACTGCATGCAGCTAAAATATGGAGTGCCGTTGTCCCCGACGACTTTTCCAGTAAAGTTGCGGCTAACATCTTCTCAGGTATTCCCGGGTCTTCGCTAAGGCCGTAAGGGTGAATGATATCATGTCTCCGCGGCCATCGCGCAAGAGGGTCGGGAGCACCACAACTGCAACGCCACAGATCCAAGGATCGATTCTCGGACAAAACATTCTTCAGATTGCCAAAGGTCCCCAGTGCTTGGCAATACTGGCCTGTACAGCATGAACACACCACACATACGCCCACACACCATGTACCATGTAAACGCCCGTTGCAGGAGAAGCACGCAAATCTGCAAATGAATTGGATGTGCACCCACAGATTTTCTCGTATAGGAACAATAGCTGATCTGAATCTGAATAAAACAGATCAAGACTAGTGCCAGATAACAGTCTAATCCGCACAAGGCAACTGGCGCAGCCATGTGAATCTCGAGCAAAATGGACAAACATGTCCCCAATTATCAGCAAACGGGTGTGCGTTACAGGATTGGCCTGACAACTTCAAACAGGCACAATCCACTAACGTGGCGCCCCGTCAACTTCAACGGGAACACACCGATACAAACACAGCCCCACAACAGCAAAACGGGAACGCCGTTACAAATATGGTGCCCTGGCAACTTAACGGGAACGCACCAACACAAGCTGGCCTGGCACCTTCAAACAGGCACAACTGACAAAACACGGCATCCGGCAACAGCAAATGGGTAGGTACACCGTTACAAGAACAGTCCATCGCACCAAAATGCTGCTGCCACAACATTATAGCAGCAGCACGCCAGACATGCATACATGGCATTCCCAAAAGCAGATACTTGGAGTCAAATTCATCCATCACACTGTTTGTTAGGGCTGAATTTTCCAGTGACAATAGCAAATCCCACCTAAGGCACATGTGATGAGATCTGTACACCAACTATAGTCACAGAATCAATGCACATTAGTAGAGCATAAGAACTCACTTGCGCTCATACCCTGTCACGTAGAGATGCTACTCTACGTGTACTGTTCCGATGTCCATTGGGGTGGTATGCCGGCCACTTGCCAGATGTAGAGCTTTTAAGCCGTACTTTGCCACCGTCTGCTTGCCGTATCACCACCTCACTTGCAACTCTGGATTCCAGGACTGTCGCTCCAACAATGGGCATGGAGCGGGAGCTAACCTGATAACAGTTGAGAGCGTGACAGAGTATCATATTTAAATAAGGCCGAGTAAGGTGGATCCCTTTGGCAAAAGTGAACACAGGCTTGGTGCTACAGGCATGGGCTGTCATGTACCGGAATAGCCAATACCGGGCATGTTTCGTCGACAGTAGATGGAACTGCGACGGCTCCACCGTATATGGCCGCGTCTTAGTGTCTGCCGCTAGGGTTTATCGGGTGTTAGCGGCCGTCGTGAGTTCCCTTCGGGAACGGATACGATAATTTACTTTTTATTTACTTTTTTTTTTACTTTTAGTGACCTTCAGGCGCAACGTGACCAAGTCAGGTGCGAGACTCCCAGCCTCCCACACAAATACTCTTTGGCTGTCAAACGAGTGAATACTAGTAGATGATGCTAAATACTCGCTGGCAAACAATAAGCCATACAAGGCCAGTAGTATACTTACCCACAGCATAGCCTGATACAATATGACTGATTGGATCGTTGTAAGTATTGCCGAAAATGGATTAAGTCGTCCACTAAAAGCTCTTTGAAACTCGGATGTTGAGCCAATATGGCAATAATAAAATTAATGTAGAAAGGAAAAGGACGTATGGATATGAGTGTAGAGTAACTGTCACTATATACTCAATACAGTCAGAAAGTGCAATAACCAGGCACTAAAACATTTGACGACCCGACTCCTGGCTTCAACACATCTCCGTAGTGTTAAGGAGAGACCAAAGAGGGAAAGGTAATACTGGTTTCGTCATCGTCCAGTAACAATCAACATTTCTTGTTCTTGTGGGACTGTAGCTTCAACTACTAGCTTGTGCTCATTTTCGTTGCGCTTACCTTCCCCTCTTTGGTCTCTCCTTTTAACCTTGAACCTTCCAAGTTGGAAGGCTGTTGGTTAGCGCTACGGAGATGTGTTGAAGCTAGGAGTCAGGTCGTCGAATGTCTCAGCACTCTGTCAGTTTTGTGCCTAGTTGTTGCATTTTTTTTACTGTAGTAGCTAGTTACAGTGGTGGACAGTTACTCTTAACTCGTATCCATATGTCCTTTTCCTTTCTAATAAAAGCTCTATCCGCAAATATGCCGAGGCGGCTTGCCGTCTCTCGCTCTATGCCATGCAACACAACTGTTGAGCAAGCAACTTTTAGGCCAGCCCCATTGCACAACAGGTAATAGGCTACTAATAGCGTAACGCAGCTAGGTAAACACGAATCGATGAAAGAGGCAGACTTCTTAGAACAAAGAGACTAGTTGTGAAGGGCAGAACATTTTTAGCAGTCAGCAGTAGGAGAAATGGCTCTTAATTATGCAGCAATACTAGGCTTACACGTTTGTGTCATGCGTTCTGAGACGGAGTCCTTGACTAGCTCGTCACTGGCCGCACTCAGAGCAGCAGTCGTCACTGGCCGCACTCAGAGCAGCAGTCGTCACTACACATGGGTTGGGAAGCAATGGACAAAAATAGCACTTGCCATGCATACATGCACTGCTTACCAGCTAAGTTAATATGTCATACTGTACTGCAGCAAGCAAGGAACTGGCAATACCTGCACCAGGCCTATCTACTGTGACCCATGCCATTGTGAATGAGAAGAGGCAGCATTGACAGTATAAGCGGTGTACTATAACCGTGTCACTAGGACTACTGCAGACCCACAACCGAACTCATAGTTACGTTTCACACTGATTTAATTCCATGAGGTTATTGTTGGGACTAAGAAAAAGAACTAACTAAAAACAATGTTGGGAGAGCAAGAACCATCTCGCACCATACCGGACGCATGCGCATGGTGCATCGAACCGGAACTAAAGACTAAAGTACAGGGCACGCGAAGGTGCAGTACATGTATGCGCCTGCAAGCAGCAGTGTCAGGAATGCAGTGAATCGCACACACCGCACGGCAGCCACCGTTAGCACGTCATGCAGTCTATACAACGCAGTGGCTCATGATCATGAAGAGAAAGCGGACACCAACCGCAAGAAGCCTATAGATTAGAAGATAAGAAGCACACCGCACATGCAGTGGAACAAGGAGTCACGCACGACTCATCCCTGAACGACAACGCCATGCAAGTACTCATGTATACAGGAAAGAACACAAACAGTGCACACAGCAAAGAACAGAAGCAGCTAGTACACGTACTTGTACTAGGAGACATTCACACAACACCATGAATACTAGCTAGTGTCAGTCAGGATGGTGGAGGGGGTCACCATTACACTTCAGCGGTGTGATGAACGGGAATGCATAACACAAGCCAGTCGAGCATTGGTACATGTACTTACGGACGCAAGTTGGCTGCACACCGCTCCACTGGCCGTTGATTTCACAAGTGCGCACGGCCGAGCCCATAAGGACATAGGGAGATGTGCACACAAACGTGGTCGTGTTGCTGAACATCAAGCCGCTCACGGTCATTGAGCCCAGTGCCGGTGGTGACAGGACCTGGCAGTCGGTTTGACCTGCACAAGCACAGAGTGCACAGAGCACAGAGCAAAGGCATTCAGTGCATGCATGTTTGGCCTAGGGGTGAAATGAGTGCCAAAATTGAGGACTCGAGTACTCTTTGAAAAAAACGAGCGAGTATTCGAGCGAGTACGAGTATTTTACTGACAACATAAAACAATGTACTGAACACACTCTCGTAACACTGAACGTATTACACCTGATACACATGTAGTCTTGCATGCAGCCTAGTGCAGGAAATAGTCTGAACTACGTCTTTTGTTGGTAAGTAGGGACAAGTAATAATTTCACACTTGCATGGGTTATCAGTACTGGTCAGAGTAACGGACGTGCTTGATGTACAAGCAAACAGTACACTGTGCATAAGATACTTTGAGTATTTTGCGAAACGAGTCCTCACTCCTTTCGAATTTTCGAGCAAGCGCCCGAGTATTCGATATACTCGTTTCATCCCTAAAACGTTTGCGTATGTGTGCGTGGCACAGACGTTGGTTTTGAATACATTGTAGTACACGCATTGTGTAAAGGAAATTGATGCGAAGATTGCCTCAACATGGCCATGCAAAGTAATAAAATAAATAGAGCAGTGAATAGCGGTCAACAGTAGCTCTACATTTTGCTTGTAATAGAAGTCATTAGCGTCAGAGCAAGAAGAGGGACAAGACGAGTCAAGGGACAATCCGGAGGACGCAATACCATACGACCAACTGTTCGTTTCTACCAGCGTTATTGTACCGTCGACACAGCTCTGACGACGATATACTGGGCGAATGCCGCGGGGCCTCCCAGCGTGTCAGCGGCAGTGGGTGATGGGCAGATAACAAGGTAGCTTGCGGACAACATCGGTGGCATGAAGCCTAGTGACTGCCAAGCGTCTTGGCGCGACGGGCGAGCAGTACAGTGTCATGCCCCAGGGGCTGCTGTGGCTGTCAACGTCGGCGGGTCGTGAGGTGCGTTCGGAGGCCTTCATGGCGCTCGGACAACTGCAATACTAGTACACAGACTCTCACTACTAGCTACATAGTACTCTGATTCTGGCACGTTATTTCTGCATTGAATAGTGATTGATTTTCCGCGCCGAATATCCGACGCTGCATGCATGTCCAATGCGCGTCAACAGTACTTCACACTTTCCTTTTCCCGCGTTATCACCTCAGCTATGCCAGTTTTGTATGTGGAAACCCCCTATATAATAGCAGCTTGGTCTATATTTTTAATCATTCAATATCTACCTTCACTGATGAGCTATGTATTGGCGAAACAGCTGTCTAAAGGAGTTAATCAATATCGTCTACGGAAGTGTCCTCGCAATGGTGATGGTGGTGTGCAGGAGGGTGTAGTCGGCTAAAGAGCGCAGTGTGGTGGTGGAGGTGACTCAACATTTTCTTCAATGGCCGAGAGCTCTGTCGCACCCTGTAATAATAATAGAAGTCATGGCACTACTATGAGTGCTGCTGCTGGTGCTTACCTGGAGCTGGTGTGACCTTGCCTGGCTGGCAGTACTGTGCATCAGAGCCATCAGCACAGTCGTACCAAACACCGTCGCAGCGCTGTGATGGCAGGATACAGCCACTGGAACGCAGGCAGGGCAGGTAGCCAGACTGGCACTGCAGTTGAATGGCTGGATACACGTACCCATACACACAACACACAAAGCAGTCAAGAGATGAAGAAAGTGTCTGCTCGGCACATCTTTTGTACAGTCAAGAGATATTAGCATCTTTGGAGGAGGTGGTAGCCTAAAACAGGCTCGACAAAAGTTACCGGCTTATGCCAACAACTCAGCGTTCTGGTAGAGTAGACGGTTCGATACCGGAACGCCTTGACAGCCAAATTTGTATAGACCCAAACCGATCATCAGCGTTGATTTTTCACTCGAAATATGTTTGTGGAAGGAAACTGGCATGTTGAAGTTTGCTCTGGGGCCAGAGTCAATCGAACTGAGCCACTCCTTTGTGTTGACCCATTGCCTCCAAGTTGCCCAATTTTTCGCTTCAAAAAAGTTCAAATCAGAGGTGGCTCCAAACCGGACACGTTTTAGAGTGCACGTCAAATTCACTCTGGGTCTGAAATTAGGTAATTGCTATCGCTCCACGACGGCCAGTACAGAGTAACAATAAGCCTTGTGTGTGCTTCCATTAGTTTTGATCGGTATGCGGTGCTTTATTGGCAAGAGGCGAGCCGCTGTTTACCTGCGACAAGTTGATTTTTCGAAAGTCGTAAAACTCAAGTCGCAGTGCGAAGCAACACGCCAAAAACTCACCTGCTTGGTATGGCGCGTCTGGTCATCGCAGAGCCATGAAATTTTGGCTCGGAGTATAACACATCGTAGTCTCACTGTGACATATGTTTTCTAATCAAAATACCAAGAGAGAAAGTGAATATTGAGTCCGTTCCGGTTTGCAACCTGTGTCCT